CACTGTAAACGCGCTCCGGTACACCTTACAGACACATATGGAATTCATACTTGTCTTAACACATTATGCATACATTCGTTATAGATGTATTCACATGCCTTTAACACCTTATAGATATGTATCGTATAGACACATGCCATAACGCTTTATATACACAGGCTTTATATTAAGTTTTACAACCTTATAAATTACACAGCTTATAGCAAGCGCGGCAGAGCAGTCTGCCTTAAGAAGTTGATGGTGTACTTGATCTATTATGGTCCATGCCATTTTGTTTGTTGTTTCGCAAATTATACGAAACGATAAACTCATTCATGATACATATCCTTAAAAATGTTATGCGTAGTTCCGTCTAGAATCCCCTTCAATGCGGCACTTCACGCTTTCAAGTTCTATACTTCAGTTAAATTGATTTCTAATTTGGGTAAATAAACTGCTCGGCCGTGCTCGCCTGCCATGCTTTGCCTGCTACATAGTATAGACATTTCCCAACACGTGGAATGACTGGTGGTTTTTAATCGGATAAATAATTTTTCTTACTCATATTCGTATCTTGACGATTACATTTTTGACTTGTTAACTGTAAATCAAAAGTGATAGAAATATGTAATATATTTTATATCGAGGGTAGAATCGAGTACTGGAACTGAAACAAATCATCGTTTTTCTTCGCCATGAAGGTATATGTTTCTATATATTATATACATCTACGTGATTTGGGTCATGTAGATAGTTATACTAGTGTAAGTGAAAGGGGTACTACTTTTACAACTGATAAATAGGGTCAATGAGTTAAATTACGGACAGTTTGATAACATAATCAGAATCAATGAAGATGGAATGTCTTCTTTGATTTCATTTCATTTCAAAGCAATATTACATATATGAGAAATCTCATGTCAAATACAAATATAAATTACTATACAGATATACAGATTTGTTTTCGTTTTTCCTATCCCGAATGACTCTCGGTATAAATAAAAAATTGAAAATTACTCAATATAATACGATATGTTTATACGATGACAGCAGTCTTCTTTTTTATTTTTTATTTTATTTGTTATTATTTTATTTTTTTATTTTTTTTACTTTTTTTTTTTTTTTTTTTTTTATTTGTTGTTGTTGTTGTTCTGGGTTCTAGGCTATCTTTTTAAAATGTATTAACAGGATAAATAAATTTTTACATTATCAGTATCAGTAACACCAAGATATGGCTAATAATCAAGCTAAATTTCAAGTGAAGATTGATCAAGTTTAATATTTCACTATATATCCATGTAAAAAATGTTTCAAATGGTTATGAGCCATTATTTAAGAAAGAATAAACTGAAGTGAATATTTAAGTTTTATATCTTAAGGAGTAATTGTTTGGGGTCACGATGGGGGCATTGCTAAGTCGGTTGGTTATTATATTAAGAACATTATGGGTTTCATTAAGTTATTATAATAACTGATGATACGTCTAGCTAGTGTTGTGTTTAGATACTATCAGAACAAGTGACAGCTAGTAAATGCAGTTAATCATAAAAGGAAAGACAATGCCGATAAATCTTAGTTTCCCGTTAGCCTTTCTTAATGTATTTACAATTTGACAATTCCATGGTGTACACTTTACACTGTTTATGATTGTTATTTTCACAATTAAACATGCTAGGGGAAATACGTCTAGTGACACACTAATGTAGCGAGAGGAGTATAACTCTCTAGTAATCTCTACTAATATTAGTATTACTAGAATATAATTATCATATTATTATACATCTGTCAGAAATTTAGAATTTCTTCTGACAACAGATTCTATGATGTCATACTTTACCCATAATCATTTGCTTGAGAATCAAAATGGCTGACTACATAATACTGATGAAAAGTTGAATATCTGGAGAATGAAAAGTGATATAAAAAAAACTGTCAATTGTATTCTCCTACATTTGTGGAGCTTTTTTGAGGGTCATTATGTTGTTTGGCTTGACTTTTCCTTTACGTTTGTTGAACAAGCTTCAGTGATTCATGTAATTGAATTGATTTTTTTTTATCTTTTATAAAAGTTCCATAGATTGCTACTATATAGTATGCATCATATTGTATCTTAGTTAAGCAGAATATGGTAAAGCATGTGCCGTACTTATGTATGTTCAAGAGACTACTATTGTGGACAATTGCATCTCGCTTCTTATCTGTCTTTGACTTCTAGCTACGATGAAATAACTACATACATGCTATGACAATTTATTGGACAGTTTTAACAAGCTTTCACAAAATTATCTTGTACAATGTCCAGATACACTAATAAAAACACTCCATTATGAAATTGATGCAGAAAACATCGCAAAGCGTAGATTTCTATGATCTACGAAAATGACCGCTGTCTAGTAATCTCTTAGACAAACATTAGTACGACACTTACTGTATACATACTACTATATCTAAGCTTTCAGATGATATACAGGTTGCATAAATATGATTAATCATTTTTCTGAACCATTTTCAAAGATGTCATTTAATTAATTTATGACATTTTCTGTTGTAGTAATCATATCTGTTTTCATTTTTATTGAAATTTGATTTATAGTGTTCTTTTTATTTGTTCACTTTCAGTAAATATCATGGTATTAATTAAAAATAGTACAGATGGACGCAGTAATTTTGTAACAATGCTATTTTGTGAGCGACATCTTCCTTCAAATAAATGGAAAATAAAACTTTATTTTATGGTAACAGTGATTATCACATTCCTCCTAAGCGTTATCCTATTCTGGTGGTCAGTGTGAATTGAAAATGGGTTATTATACAAAGACTAGTTGTGATACGTAGGTGTTTCCTAAAGGTAAATCGTCCATGACGATTTCAACGTTTCCGTACTCGATAAAAAAAACAATACAGCCCACTGGTGGATCCAGAAATTCGGTAAGGGGGCGCTCCTATTGACGTGGCTGAAGTCACTGATACCTCCGATGGGCTGGGATTGTCAATTGATTTGTCATTTTTTTTGCAGGCTGAAGTGAGGGCGCGCCTCCCCTAAATCCGCGCGTGAAGCCTGTCCAATAACCGCAGGAAGAAATGATTTCCCAGTGAATAGAAACTGACCATTTATGACGACCGGTGAAATGGACGATAGGTTGATTTAACGGCGATCGAGCTCAATAACTTTCGTATTTATAGATAGATGACGAAAAACTTGATGAAAAATGTAAGCGATGACAAATCTAAGAATAATAGTACTGATCGGTTTCCAGCTTTCAGGTGTATGGTTGGGTGGTACAGTACGTGAATGTGATTGTATTCAGGTGTATGGTTGGGTGGTACTGTACGTGAATGTGATTGTATTCAGGTGTATGGTTGGGTGGTACTGTACGTGAATGTGATTGTATCCAGGTGTATGGTTGGGTGGTACTGTACGTGAATGTGATTGTATTCAGGTGTATGGTTGGGTGGTACTGTACGTGAATGTGATTGTATTCAGGTGTATGGTTGGGTGGTACTGTACGTGAATGTGATTGTATTCAGGTGTATGGTTGGGTGGTACTGTACGTGAATGTGATTGTATTCAGGTGTATGGTTGGGTGGTACTGTACGTGAATGTGATTGTATTCAGGTGTATGGTTGGGTGGAACTGTACGTGAATGTGATTGTATTCAGGTGTATGGTTGGGTGGTACTGTACGTGAATGTGATTGTATTCAGGTGTATGGTTGGGTGGTACTGTACGTGAATGTGATTCTATTCAGGTGTATGGTTGGGTGGTACTGTACGTGAATGTGATTCTATTCAGGTGTATGGTTGGGTGGTACTGTACGTGAATGTGATTGTATTCAGGTGTATGATTGGGTGGTACTGTACGTGAATGTGATTGTATTAAAATACGTGAATGGAAACATTTATCTCGCCATTAACATTAATGAGACAAACATATCACGAGTACCAATCATCATTTTAATATCATTTATTAAAATTAAAATACATATAACATGTTTAGAAAGTTATTCAGCCATTTATAAATGTTCTATGAAATACGAGTATATCAGCAGGAGTTGATCGGACTACATCACCATTGCCATTCGTATCGCTCCGCCATCGTACTAGCGGTCTACATCAGTAATGTACCGCATATCGGTTGCATTAATAATATGCGCAGGAATTGTATGACGTCACAACTACGTCACTACTGGACCTGTAAATAATAAAATAAAATAAAATAAAAGATAAGTTACATTGTGATTTATGATTCGGTGAGGGTAGAGTCTACACATCCGTTTGCTTTTTCGATGGCAACAAAGATCCTAAAATACAAAATAAGGAAAACGGACAATAAAAAGAACGTTATATGTATGTATTTATTTATAACACACGATGTCTACATTCTGTGTTATGATTGGTCAATACGTGGTCACATGGGGGTTATATACGCTATCATCCGAAGACGATGAACTATTCCCAAAATGACGTCACTTTGGGAATAGTTCAGCAGACTATTTTTTGTAATTATGAATTGAACTGTGTTGATACGACATTGGAAAGATCATAGTACGCAGGACGCGGAATATAAGCGACGTGTTCGTTGTGGATATTTGTGGATACAGCGTATCAGTTACCAACTTAGAAGGGATACAAGTTATAATTTGTTTAACACTCCTCCATTACCAAGTGTGCCACCCCTGCACTATTTCGCATTTTAATTATTTCTTATCACATTTGTTATTCTCAAAACAAGGTGTATTCAACACACCATCAGTATGTAAAAATGTCCCATAAGAGGTGGACTATTAAAAACTCTGGTAGCGAACAATTATGGAAAACAATCCTATAGGGATGAATAACAGGACAACAATCCTGCACGTCTATTTCTAAAGAGAAATAGATATTCGAACAATTTTAAAATTGAAAAAAAAAATTGCATAGTTTTTCTACCATCGCCCAGAGTATCTTATGGTCCAGCTCTAAACAAGACAAAAAGAGGTAATATAATTTCAACTTACTTGTAACACAGCGCCACCACATGTTCTAACCTATTCTTATTCTCTTTGATTTCGTTTTGATTGCTACATCACTTTCATCGGCCCTGTTGAAGAAAAAAATGGAATTATTTGTTTTTAACACTTGCTGATAAGCTGTGTGCAGCAATAAGTAATACACTTTAGTTTTTGAATAACATAATCCTCATACCCAATGCATTGATTTGCAATACTACATTATACCGCAATGTGTACTTACTCTCTTGGCCTTTTAACTGGTGTCACGGGATAATTCGTTGTCAACGTCGTGTTCGTCACTTCCACTTTCTGAGGAACTGTTGAGCCCATTAATTTGGCTCGCATTTTCGCAAACGCCGTCATTGGTTTCGTCTTTTTCTCTTCCGGTGGTGTTTCTTTTTTGGATGTAGTGTTTACAGTACATGTCTTATCAAATCGCCTTGGAATAGAGATTACTTCGCGGGGTTGATTAGTTGAAATGTTCTTCTGATAACTGCCAGTTTTCAGTTTCATGTGATATGACGCTAGGCTGTCACTCTTGCTCTTAGCAGCAGCATGGCTTGAAGATAGTTTGCAAATTCTCTCAAACGCCGCCATTGCTTTCCTATTTTTTTCTTCTAATATTTCCTTTTTCGGCGCAATCTTTACGTTATTTGAAAGCCATGGAACTGAAATTGCTTCAGCGTCAATGTGTGGATTCGATGATTTGTTTTCAGGGTGTTTTTCACTCGTATGTTTCGCCGCATGGTGCGGTCCTGCAAGCGGCGTGACGTCGCGACTTCTGTCGTTAGCGGGAATATGGCTCAGTGCCTCAGTGTTGTCTTGATGTAATCCGTGCATTTCTGGTTTACTATCCTGACTCTTAGCAACCATTCTCCGGAAACAGTCACGGGAATCCATTTTGTCAGCGTATCGCTCTCTTTCTAATAATAGCTGCTGGCGTACGCTGGCAATTTGTTGCCGACTCAAAGTATGGAAACTATCAAATAAAGGCAAGATACTTGTATTATGATTTTGTCATTTTAAAATAGGTTAAACTCGAGAGTTATATAAGAATCAAAAACAGTGGTGTGTACCAGAGGGAGTACTTTCCATCATATCGACACAATCTCGGTATAATCACACATAATCGCTGTACTTACCATAAATATCGTGGCTTACCAGACATGGTGGGAAAGGAGACTGGTTCCAGATTCCACCTATTTGGCGAACATGTCGGCGGGTTTGCCCATGGATAGACTGGAGACAAATCAAATTAAGTTATATTTCAATATTGGAAATAACGCAGTATTAATACCGTAACATTTGTACTTTCCTAACTGTGTTCTATCGACGTTGACAAAGCGTGTTTCAATTCCTGCGCATAATGAATAAGTTAGCTTCAATCTCGCAAACACGTGAAAAAACACGTTAAAAACACTTACATGTTGCAAGCACGTTGAATGATCTTTCATATGATAACATTTTGTCTTGAAGTTGTGTGCAGTACGGTTAGTTTGCAGAGGTTTTTGTAGATCTGAGCGAAGCGATGCGGTAGTACCGAAAGTGAGACAAACAATGCGTAACGTTCTGCGCGCCTAGTAACGCGCATAACTCTTGTAGCGTAACCGCGGAACAATCGAACGAATAGCGCCGCCTGTGGTGGCATGTGGTAATATCAATTCTCCAAGAATCGTTCTCCTCTCTCTCCCTCTTCTCGACCGTGACTTTTCAACTTGGCTATGAAAGTTTATGAGGCTTTCACAAGCTAAGGAGAACGTGATGAAACTCACGAGAGAAATCACTAAAATTCCGTTGTTTTATAGTTGTACGACGCTCGGATGTCCAGCGGTCGAGAATTGTACTCGATCCTGGGCCCGGGGGTAGCCCTGCGTACAGTGCTGTGTGTAAGGGGACGCGTTTGGTTGATAGATGTCCCCACCACAGCCCTGCGTACCTCCATAGACAAAGTCCGGGAGCGCACCGTAATTGGTGCGCAAGTTAAAAATAAGTAGTTTCCCAGCCGAAATCGGTTGAAATGGCGATAGTTATCCGTAACAAGCATTACAAAGTTATCTGAAACTGAAATGTCTTTAAATAACAACTAGTAAAGACGGACAAATTGTAAACCGGAGGAATTATCCACCAAACGCCGCCATTTTTTAATTTCATTCACGCGAGAAATGCTTTGTTTTTAGAGCCAAGTAGCCGA